TTACTCATGTGAGTTCCTAGAAACAAAACCGTGAGGGCGTGGTTGAGGCCCAAAGTAGACAATATCGTGCTACGACAGAGTCGAGCTCGGGATGTGGTGAAGCCTGGGTCGGGATGTGACAAAGTATATATATTTCTATTAGAACGGTGATGTGATTTAATCTAAACTAATTATAAGGAGGAGGATTCGACGAGTTGGACTGATGATATGTATGTAGTTTTGTTGAAAATATACAAATTGATTCTACTAAAATATACAAACTATTTCTGCTAAAAAGTATACAAACCTAATTCTACATATATTTGAAACTGATTATGCAAAAATGGTCAAACATGTGTTGAACTGATTCAGCAAAAATGGCCGAAGACAGGTTAAACTGATTCTGTAAAAATGCTCGATGACTAATTGAACTGATTTTGCAAAAATGCCGAAGACGAGTTGAACTAATTATGTAAAAATAGTGTAGGATGAGTTGAACTAATTTTGCAAAAAAAAGTCGAAGACAGGTTGAACTGATTATGCAAAAATGATCGAATACGAGTTGAACTAATTATGCAAAAATAGTTAAGAATTGATTGAACTGATTCTACAAAATTGATTGAGGACTCTACTTGAACTGATTTTGCAAAAAATGGTCGAAGACGGGTTGAACTGATTCTGCAAAAATGGTTGAGGACGTGTTGAATTGATTCTGCAAAACTAGCTGAGGAAATAATTGAACTGATTCTGCAAAAATAGTCGAGAACATGTTGAACTGATTCTAGTAATAAAAGACACAAACCGATTATATATATGTTTCAAAACTGATTCTGCAGAAATGATCGATGATGGGTTGAGCTTATGACATATATTAATAAGGTTCAGGGTTTTAGGGTTGAATAAAAAAAAAAAAACAATTGAGGTACCAAATTTTCAAAATAAAAGAAAAATGAAAAATGAGTTAAAAAACACATTTGGAGTAAAGAGAGAGCATGGTCAACATTGAGAGCAATATAAAATTTGTCATCTTCCATGAAATGTTACGATTGAAGGCACAACCACAGCAACCATCATTTCTTCTAACAATATTAATAATAATTTATTGCCCACCACTTCTACCCTAAATGAGAATTCCCCTAAACGTTCGTTTCAAATGCCCAGGTACTATCAGGACTTCTTTCCCCATATAAGAAAATTCAACAAAAACACGCACATACACATATGTTTTACATTACTACTATGATCCACACATATGTTTTACATTATTACTACTATGATCCATATAAAGAACAAACAAATAAAATAAAAAAATTAATAAAAGAATTATTAATTTTGACTTTTTAGGTTTTCTTTTGGAATGTAAGCACGAAAATTACAAATTGAAGATAAGAAGCAACTGATGGCAGGTGGAACATGGCGAGGTTAATGTTAAGCTTATGATTGAAGATAAGAAGTAGTTAATGAACAACATATAAAACATTGTTGAAGAAGATAATGAGAAATTCCTCAAAAGACTTAGAGATAAAACTAACACGTTTTCGTGTCTCTTCTCTTGTTTACTATTTTTTGAACCCTTGTGTTTAAAGTAGTGAGGAAATGAAAGAAAACATAGGGAAGTATATATATTTTTTTTTCTATTAGAACGGTGATTTGATTTAATCTAAACAAAATTATTGTGCGGAGGATTCAACAGGTTGGACTGATAACATGTATATAGTTTTGTTGAAAATATACAAACAGGTTCTACTAAAAAAAGTATACAATACTAATTCTACATGTGTTTGAAACTGATTCTGCAAAAATGGTCGAACACTTGTTGAATTTATTCTGCAAAAATACTTGAGAATTGATTGAACTGATTCTGTAAAAATGTTAAAGACGGTTGAACTGATTCAACAAAAATGTCATAAGCTCAACCTATCATCGACTATTTCTGCATAATTCGTTTTGAAACTTATGTAGAATCAGTTTGTATACTTTATTACTAGAATCAGTTCAACCTGTCATCGACCATTTTTGCAAAATCAGTTCAATTAGTTCTTGACCATTTTTGCAAAATCAGTTCAATTAGTTCTTGACCATTTTTGTAGAATCAGTTTAATCTATCATCGACCATTTTTGCAAAAATCAGTTCAACTCGTCTTCTATCATTTTTGTAGAATTTGTTCAACCCTTCTTTGACGTTTTTGCAGAATGAGTTCAATCTGTCATTGAGCATTTCATAAAATCAGTTTAACCAGTCCTTGATCATTTTTGCATAATCAGCTTCAAATACATATAGAATAAGATTTGTATACTTTTTTAGTAAAATGAATTTGATATATTTTCAACAAAACTATACCTGTCATCTGTCTAACCCGTCGAATCCTCCTCCCCATAATTTTTTTTAGATTAAATCAAATCACCATTCGAATATAAAAAAATTACTTCCCTATGTTTTCTTTCATTTCCTTACTACTTTAACGCAAGGGTTCAAAAAATAGTAGACAAGAGACGAGACACGAACATTTCAGTTTTATCTCTAAGTCTTTTGAGGAATTTCACATTATCTTCTTCAACAATGTTTAATATGTTGTCCATCCACTGTTTCCTATCTTCAATCATAAGCTTAGTAACATCAACCTTGCCATGCACCACCATGCCATCAGCTACTTCTTATGTTCAATTTGTAATTTCGTAGTTACATTCCAAAAGAAAACCTAAAAAGTTAAAATTAATAATTCTTTTATTTATTTATTAATTTGTTCTTTATATGGATCATAGTAGTATGTAAAACATATGTGCATGTGCGTGTTTTTGTTAAATTTTCTTATATGGGGAAAGAAGTCGTGAAAGTACCTGGGCATTTGGAAAGAACAGATTTTGGAGAATCCTCATTTGGGGTAGAAGTGGTGGGTAATAAATTATTATTAATATTGTTAGAAGAAATGGTGGTGGGCGTGGTGGTGTTTTCAATTCTACAATTTCGTTGAAAGATGACAAATTCGGTGTTGCTCTCAATGCTCACCACGCTCTCTTTCCTACCCATATGTGTTTTTTTTTTTTTTTTTTTTTTTTTTTTGAAAATTTAGTAACTCAATTGCGTCTTTTTTGCTGAATTGGAAAACTCAATTGTTTGTTTTTGGTGAAATTAAATTTATTTCCTTTTCACGCTATGCAGATATTGGTTGTTTGTTTACTATATGAAATGGTGAGATGGGGAACGGAAAGGGAGAGTGAAAGAGACAAATAGAGAAAGAGAGAGAAAAGAGCAAGCAGGAGAAGTGTGAAAAGATGCTAAAGATAAAGGGTATTTTTGTAACTTACACTTTAGTGGAAAAAAGTAAATAATGTTGTCTTCCACGTATATTAATTTTTGTCTTTCATTGAAATATTAAAAAAGTGTTATCTCAATATAAAATTAAGTATTAAAATTATATACACTTTAGTGGAAAAAAGTAAATAATGTTGTCTTCCACGTATATTAATTTTTGTCTTTCATTGAAATATTAAAAAAGTGTTATCTCAATATAAAATTAAGTATTAAAAGTATACTTCATACGTAATTTTTCCATTTTATATCATGTCCATTAAAGAATTTTTTTACCAATAAAGAATACTCATTCAAAGACGCTTTACATGTATCATCATATAGTTCCCAAAGTATGGTTCTTTTTTAAATCTCTGTGAATGTGATTTAGTTGCCATCATTATTTACTTATAAAATACGACCGCAAATAAGGGGGGAAATGTCAAGTCATGCACATGTTTGTATTATATTTATCCTTTCAGATAAGAATGATTATCAATTATATTAATATAAATTATTACCAGTGAAACCTCTCAGTGCTTATAAAAGGCCCTTAAACACCCTCTTAGTTAAACACCCTCACTAAGAGTAAGAGGAGAAAAGTCTCAAGAGTAGAGAAATATGGCCTCTCGATTCATCATCATCTTTTGTCTTCTGTTTGTTTTGGTAATACCTTTATCACCTCACCAAAACGTCCTACTGTTGTACCTTAATTAATTTCATGCAGATGGCGTATTATCACAGTAGCAGGAAAATAATTATGTCTATGCACTATTATGTGGGTTTAATCCCCACCTATTTCCTTATCCCTTAACAACTAACCATGTAACCACTAATATCATCGTTTGTAAAGAAAATTAATTTCATACTCTAGGACCCTAGGAGGTTATGTTTCTGTATTTCAATATTTGTGCATGCTAAGTTATATTAATGTTTTACGAACATATCACTTGTTGTGTTACATGGTATTATGATATCATTACAAAATTGATCTACTAGCATTACTCTACTAAGTATATGTATTTACAAGTAAAAATTTTAAAATGGACAAGAAAGATATTAAATTATTATCTGCTTTAGTATTCGTGGTGCCAACTTTCACTTAATTATAACTCACAAATTTCCGGTTTTATTAACAGAAATTTTTGTTAACTGTTATAGGCAACTGTTAATTAGTTTGTTGTATTCATTTTTACGTTAAATATATTTCTCGTACAAAATTTTGTAATCTTATTATAATATAGGTAGGTACGTTACAACTGTACTAAATCTGAAAAACAACTTAGATTTTCTCATAAAAAAAATAAATAAATAAAGAAGGAGATTTTTAATTCAGGTTTTCCAACTAGCGTTCAGTAATTCATTTTCTATTTATAAATGTTTCATGAAATATATTTTCTAATTTTTATCATTTTTATTTGTCTCAAATTTTCCATTGAAAATTATTTGCAAATAATAAAAATGAAAACGGATAAAGCCTATGGTCTTGATTGATAGAACAGAACATTCCAAAATAACCTTCATATTTAAGCCCTATAGCTATATACAACAACAAAAAAAAAAAGAAAGAGTGATCAGCAGCAACATTAGGTCTTCATTTTTTCCTCTTTTCGTTTTAACAGCATTCACTGAGTCAGAAACTTTATTTCTCGAGTTTCTGGAATATGTGAATATGTACTTGTTTATTAACCATTTTATAGACAGTACTCTAAGAGCATAGTAAATTTTAACCATGTATATTGCTCAGGTTCACTCTCATCTCAATTATAAACATAAGTTACCAACTAACTTTTGATCTATTAGTAATTATATTGTATGTGAGTTTATCAATCTGTTGTTAACTGTATTTTTGTAAATATTGTATCGTTTGTTAAAATGAATCTTGAGGCTCGAGATATATAGAAAAAATAAAAAAATCATATTTCTTGTTATTCTAAAGCAGTGTCGTTATGCCACTGGAGCAAGGGATGTAGTTAAGCAACAATACAAAATTGGGCATGGAGCTACAAAAAGCATGGAAGAAGTGGAGGTAAGTGACTACACAATGATCTTTATACATTACTAAGATTATGATCACAAGATCCTTACATAACTAACTTTTAACTACAGGACCTTCCTAATTACATAACAAATTATGGAAACAAACAAGGCAGAAAAGGAAATGGAGCTACAAAAAGCATGAAAGAAGCGGAAGTAAGTGATTACACAACTAACTTTATACATTACTAAGATTAATCACATGACCCTTAACTAACTTTTAACTACAGGACCTTCCCAATTACATAACAAATTATGGAAACAAACAAGGTAGAAAAGGAATTGGAGTTACAAAAAGCATGAAAGAAGTGGAGGTAAGTTAAGACACAACTAATTTTATACATTACTAAGATTAATCATATGATCCTTGCATAACTAACTTTTAACTACAGGGCATTCCCAATTACATAACAAATTATGGAGGCAGAAAAGGAGTTAAGACTCCTTACACAATGAGTTATGCAATCAAAGAAGAAGTCGAGACTCCTTATACAATGAGTTATGCTACCAAAGAAGAAGTCCAGACTCCGTACACAATGAGTTATGCAACTAAAGAAAGCAACAAGGAAGTTAAAACTCCTTACACAATGAGTTATGCAGCCAAAGAAGAAGTTTTGACTCCTTACACAATGAGTTATGCAACTAAAGAAGGCAAAAAGGAAGCTGAGACTCCTTACACAATGAGTTATGCAACCAAAGAAGAAGTCAAGACTCCTTACATAATGGGTTATGCAACTAAGGAAGGCAAAAAGGAAGTTGAGACTCCTTACGCAATGAATTATGCAACCAAAGAAAGGAAAGAGGAAGTTGAGACTCCTTACACAATGAGTTACACAACCAAAGAAGCAGAGACTCCTTACATAACAGGTTACACAACCAAAGTAGCGGAGACTCCTTACATAACGGGTTACACAACCAAAGAAGCGGAGACTCCTTACATAATGGGTTACACATCCAAAGAAGCGAAGACTCCTTACACAATGAGTTATGCAACAAAAGAAGGAAAAAAGGAAGTTGAGACTCCTTACAAAATGAGTTATGGAACAGAAGAAGTTGAGCCTTCTCATGAGCATGTTCATATTCATATGCATCCACAATCTCAACCTCACATGGATCACAATGAAGCATCCAAGCAAGGATTTTTCACGTTCGATGATTTACACTGCGGTATGAGAATGCCTCTCCACTTTCCCAACCAAGAACATTCTCGTTTCCTGCCTAAAGAAGTAGCTGATTCCATCCCATTCTCAACACCACATATCCCACAAATTCGTCAACTCTTCTCAATCCCACAAGGTTCTCAAGAAGCGAAGAATGTCGCATATGCACTTGAACAATGTGAGATGAAACCCATCAAGGGTGAGACGAAGTTTTGTGCCACTTCTCTGGAGTCCATGACAAATTTTGTTACCAAGATCATCGGTTCAGGTGTTCGCTTCAACATTCTCTCAACCGAGAACCCCACAACATCAACATCCATCACACAAAGCTACACTATCTTAGAAGAGCCTAAACAAGTTTTGGCTTCCAAAATGGTTTTTTGCCATCCATTGGCCTATCCTTATGCAGTGTTCTTCTGCCACCATTTTGAGAAAGACACCAAATTCTTCAAGGTTAAACTTGGAGGTGAGAATGGTGATAAGGTTCAAGCTGTAGCTGTTTGCCACATGGACACTTCTGATTGGGACCCTGCCCACTCCTTATTTGCCCTTCTTGGAATTAAAGCTAGTGCTTCATCTCCAGTTTGCCATTTCTTGCCCGAAAATCATCTAGTTTGGATCCCATCACCTGCAACATCTGCTATCTGAGTACGTAGCGATTCTGTTGGATCTTGGTTCTGTGTATCATACCGTATCGTGCGTGTAAAATAACGATCCATCACCAAGTTCTGGTAGTACGGTTGAGCATTCATGCTAGTGTTTTCGAATTACAATCTACTTTTTTTTGTGTATCATACCGTATCGTGCGTGTAAAATAACGATCCATCACCAAGTTCTGGTAGTATGGTTGAGCATTCATGCTAGTGTTTTCGTATTATCAATCTACTTTGTACTTTGTTGTTTGTATCAATAAGTTGAATCTCTTTAAACATTGGACCAAGAAATGTTTGGTTTGAACTTGAGATCATTTTCCACTCATCGTAAAACTACGATCTACTTAAATATATCAAGATTTGACCAACTTAGAAACGAGTACAACATAAAGGGATCATTTTCTTATCATGGTGGGCGTTATTTGCTGGGAGATATGGAAGGAAAGGTGCAATGCTTTTTTTTCAGGAAGGACCCTGATACCACAGCTACGCTGAAGGGATCATCTCCCGCTCTGTGGCGAAGAGGCTTGAGCGTCATTGCAGAGAGACCAGAGCTTCTGCCATCACAAGAAGAAATGCCATTTGGACCCTTCCCACACCCGCTTTTGTTAAAATAAATGTAGATGGTGAATGGAGATCATCTTGCAAGGCTGGCCTGGGCGTTGTCATACGAGATTGGGAGGGATCCTTTTGGGAGGCGAACACTGCCATCTCCTCAGATCATCTGTTGAGGAAACTGAGGCAGAGGAAGCACGTTCAAGGCAGGTATTAGCTAAAGACATGGATTTGCAGAACATCATGTTGAAAGTGATTACAAAGTCATTGTCTTGAAGAAGTCAGTTAAAAGCATATGCAAAATATACCCTACTACAGAGGAGATTTGGAGGTTATCTTCATCTCTAGCACCAGTTCAGTGGAATTGGATTCACAAGGAAGCCAACAAAGCAGCACATGTTCAGTGGACTTGGATTCATAAAGAAGCGAACAAAGCAGCACATAAAGCTACTTGTCTGGGTATCGAGAGAGTGCCGTCACATGTGCCTTTGTGGCTTGGTGATGCTTCGGTGTTGCGTGACTCGTCACCGGTGCCCCTGTGCCTAGGTTAGTGATGCTTCGGTGTTGCAGGACTCGTGAGTGAGTTTGCTGCGTAACATTGCATTTCCTCTCGCCCTATCTGAGGCTTTAAATCTGAGTTGACCAAAGTGAAGAAAGTAGAACACTAGGAATGATATTTAAAGAGTAGTGCACTTTTTTGTTTTTTTTTTTGGACAAACAAGTGGAGTAGATTGTTAAATGGTAGGACTGAGAGAGATCAGTGAGAATTGAGTCCGCACTAAAGTGCATAGGCATTATTGTTTACTGCAACTGCAGTAAAGCACCGTCTGCAACTTCCCTAATTCGTTTGCGTCTTTAAAACCTGGAAGCAACAGAGTTTGAACTCCATTAATAAAATAACAACTACACACCGTATTTTTACAAACCTCACGAGGATCTCCATCCATAGAATACAATGATTTCGATTTCATGCCTGCCCAAGAGTCCTCTCAACACTATAAAGTGGAGATTCCTCCGTAAAAAAATTGCAGCTATACGACGATGAAAATTACCATAACACTACAGGCATATCATGTACATTTGTAAAACAAGCTCCAAACATCTCCTTTTTACTTCTCAATGCCCTGCTGCAGATACTGTATCAAGTCGTACCCAGCGGTCGTCCATTTGTTGTAGGCATCTGTGCACACATGGATCATAAAATTGGCCGCCTCACGCTCACTCATCTCTGGATGAAATCTCTTACGAAGATTTCCAATAGGGTCACCGCGGCTGAAGCAAGGCAACCCACTGTCTAGCATTAACGACACTGTGTTGATGATCCCATCCATGTATCGGCGGGCGGCAAGGTACCCTTTAACGCACAAGCTGTGGACGGATTACATAGAACATAACACACGTTTAAACTTCTAGCCAAAAAGAATCAACATAAAAATATTATCCAGAAACATCGTGAGGAAAAAGAAACCAAAAAGGACAAACCCCTTCCTACCTCACAAATTGGTTCCATGTATCGCTCTTCATAACCCCAGAAGGGTCTAATAATTGTGTCATCTCATGGCTGAGCTTAAAGTGTGCACTTTCAAAGCGCATGTTTCCACCCGGTGAAGTTTCCAAGATGAAACCAAAATCAATATGAACAAGCCTTCCCACGCTGCATTAGCAGGCATGTCGACATCAGTTTCAGATCAATCCTTACTTTCACAAATTGTGTATCTTACATGTTTCATGTATAGCATTTCGAAGTGGCTAATAATACATATGAGTGGTTTGAAGGTCAGTTTTTGAGTTTGCTATGCTTGTACCATATGTGCCGGGTGCCTACGTATAAGTCTCAGTCCTTCCGAACACAAATTTGACAAAAAAGAACAAATAAAAAAATAAGAAAGTAAAAGGGTGCTTTGAAGATCATACTTGTCAAACAGAAGATTCCCATTGTGTCGATCCTTTGGTTGAAGTAAAAGGCTGGCAACTGCATAACCAGCACTACTAATGATGAAGTTTTCGCGGGCAGCTTCAAAGCTGGCAGACCCAACAGGTCCATAATCCTGTTGAAAAATCTCAAACAAACCACCATCCGTAGTTTCACCCATCTGACTTCTGCTCCGTGCATTAGGTACAACCTGCAATAAAAAAATATATTAAGAAAGAAACCAAATGTGCCCGTACTACTATGATCAGCCATTTAGCTCAAGGGAAGAAGCTTGGGGCGATCATATCACCCAACTTTAGACATCCCTTGGAATGGCAATTACAATGTCAGATTACTCTTTCGAATCTCTGATACCACTCGATGCACTTGCATTCATAATTCACACGGTAGAGCTGAAGATATGAATGTCTAGTAAATCAAAATTCAAAATTAATTGGCTAAGTGACACAATCGATGTTGGAGTTTCTACTTTTGGTTGGCTTGAGCCTTAAAATGTCTATAACTTGTGCTATTCCAGCATAAACACATAAAACCTTGATGAAAGTAGTTGTAGGCAATCAATCTAAAAGCCATGCTTAAAACATCCAGATTTGACCCCTACTTCAGAAAATTTTGTACCAAAGCACAAAAACCAAGAGAATTTCCACCAGTAGATTACCAAAAAGACAAGAAAAATATTGCAGCCCTTCAAATCCCTCAAACAACCATTGGGCCTAGCCTTGTGGCAGGAAAAGACTTGATCCCTGATTTCTCTTCTGACAGCAAAAATGTTTTAGTTTACAGACTAGTTGGAGGATAATATAAAATAGAAAAAGCAGCTCCACTATTTTCTTCCTTTTATGTTCATGGGGAAGATAAAAACAAAAATATTATCCGGATAAGATTCTTAAAAACCATTGCTGATACATTACGCAACAGCTAGCTTCAAGGAAAGACACTTTTTTCAACCGCTTTCTACAAATACTGTAGTATTTAACTATATGCCAAAGCCAAATCATTAAAAGAAATAAGGCAAATGTAGCCAAAACCTTGTTAGATGTGAATAACCGTGTGTTCATTCAGGGGACACTTTATCCGCCACATTGTATCTCTTTTATCAATAAAACATGTGTTTCTCATATAAAAAAAGTAGTCTGAACATTGCCTAGCACACCCAAATAATGAAAATGGAAAATGAACTGGACTGTAAAATCTAAAGCTTCACATGGAATCGTGTAAATTAAAGAATAAGATCTCTCAGCAAAATAGCACGCATGCAGGACCCTAAAAAGTAGTTGACAAAGATCCAAACCTCAATAATGCCTCTCTCTGGGCCAGTTGGGAGCACACCATACGGAAACAAATAAAGATTAATTCCAACTGCTTCAAATATGTCTCTCAACAGGGAAATCACTTGAAGAGCAAGAACATCCTGGCGGCAATCATCTCCAACCTTCAAGAAAGGGAGCTCCGTTAAGCCATGAAATAAGAAAAAACTTTAACATTTCTAATATTTCAAATTTTCATAGGAATAAATAAGAGGTCACTAGTTTAAAAATCCCGAGATTCATTGTCTGCATCATGTAACTTCTTTATCCATCATATCCCATAGTACAAACTAAACAACATAAGCAGCCTTTCAACCATACATGGGTCTAATCAATTTGAGATGTAAGTGGATAAGATTACCTTGAAAATACAAGCTTGTGGTTTTACATCACTGCGGTCCCCAACCCGATCGACAACATTAAATGTTATCATTATAGGAACTTTTGCTGCAGATTGCAAGGGTATTCCACTATCTACCTGAATTCCCCTTACAAGCTTGGTAGGAGCAGTTGGCAAATAGAGATCCTCTCCCTCAACTTCAATTTTCTCCAACTCTCTGTTTAAGCAGATTGCATATAGCATCAACAGTATATACAGACACACACGTATATGCACACATGTGCTTATGTGTGTGTATATTTATAAATTATGAGCTCAAAATCCAAAGACCATTTTTATAGAAAAAATTCCACACAGTACAAGTATACCTCCGGATACCAGCTCGGCGTTCTTCCTTTGGAAGCGGAAAGAGTACACCGGAAATAGATGTAACCTTGTCAAAGAAATCAAATTCTCTTTGAAAAATATCAAGTGCCTTGGGACTGAAACCATCAATGATATGCTGTCTAACATGAGGCAACAACTCTTGAAACGAACTATTCTGAAATGGAAGCATCAATAAATACAAGTTATTCAACAACAAAAGATGAAGAAACCAGACCATGTGACTCATGTGAATATTCAATTTACTTAAGACCTTTTAAAAAAATTTGTACAATTGATACAAAATGATGCAAACATATCTTAGCTTGTACTGTTCTATACATACGAAGATCAGACATACATGCTGAACGGAATTACAATTTTTTCTGGTGACGCAATGGCTTTTGATAATTAACTCTGCAATTCTGGATTTTTACTTTTAAAATAAAAAATGATAACACATCAAACTGGTATACAAACTTCTTGTTCCACGACTGCGTATATTGGACCGAATTAAAATTAACTGGAGATGCTTCCAACTAGATTACAAGTCCAATGCAAAAGTTTAATCCAAGTAATGTTGTGATTTTCTACACAAAATGCAAGAAATTGGTTCTTGAAAATTCATACTGACCGTCCCTTCAGTGATTCAGAATGCAGGGATGACCTAAAATATAATGCATTATCTATCACCAATCACCATAAATTCACTTATTAACTCATGAAGCGCATTACAGAAAATGATGCAAACCTTTTACTGAAGATATTCCATTCCTATAAGACAAAGTATCATTGTAAATGTTTAGTAAAACTCCTAGGCAGATACTAGTATATCACAGCATACTGTGTAGCAGATACCCCGTTTCTATGCATATCTTAATTTATACTCAAATATGACTTTATGATATCATTTCTCATATATTCTCTAGATTTAACAGTGCAATGCTGACTGTCTTCAGCACAATTCCTACCAAAAGACTCAAAACTTTAATATTAGTTATCAACTTTCAACATAGAATCAAATTCTGTGGTATCACAAACAAAACTTTAAATATGCCCAAAGTTTTGGTTGCCAATTGACAGCATGTAATGAAAACGCAAGGCCATTCTCAGACTGTAGGCATACCTTCACAGGGACGTCATCTTTTCTTTCTGATTCTGGAACAGATGTCTCACCCTGCCATTTATAAACACAATCAAATTTTCCTAAAAAGATATGCATGTGGACTTTCGTGTGTGTGTGTGTGTGCATCTGTGTGTGTATGAGAGAGACGGAGGAAGGAAGGAAGTAGATTAGTTTTGCAGAATCAGGCTTCACCTGTAAGTGCCAGATTAAAATATGGGCAAAGATATCACTTCTTTGAGCTGCTCTAAGCAGATAGCCTTCTACTAGCCTCTGCAAAAAAATTAAGTAGAGATCAGATATATAAAGAAAGACTTGCAAACAGCGACACGGAATACGTAGAACAAATGTCTATGATGATTGCACCTCCAGAACGTGTGGTCAAATTAAGGATCCTCAACCTTAGTCCTACTGACCAATTACCCAATCAACTTTTATAGAAAATAATAGAGGCAAATCGCATTATAAAATAATTAAAAATATAAAAACACAAAGAAATTAGCTGTAAAATTTAAATAAAAATAAAATGCATAAAAATTATAGCAGTAATAATAAATAACAACTGGGAAAGTTGAATTAAATTGGTGGTTGATCCGGAATCCCTTCTATCGTTAATCAGAGATTTCTCAATGAACAATATGAATCGGAGTTTGGAAGGAGTCGTCGA